AGCTGGGTGGGGAGGGGTTTAGCTGAGGAGTGCTTTTGTATTGGTCGTTGTTGACCTTCCACCCACCTCTAACCCAGAAGATGAGTGATAGATCTGTCCTAAAGCCAATCAAAAGTCCTCAGGGTGAGGCCGAGAGATGCCCTATAAATAGGGTATACATTGCTCCTTAAAGCCAGTATTGCCTAGGTGTGTCAGAGGTGTCCTCATGCCTTTTGGTGGTCTCGGTTATCGCTCCACCCCGTGCCTGGTGAGTGGAAAGCCACCAACCTTTCATTTAGTCCCCTACCCATCATTGCCTTGGGACAGGCGATTTTGTACAGTGAAACACTGAAGCCAACACCATAGCAGGAGTTGGTGCCACTTGACACTTCTGAGAGGGAATTTTCGTTGTATCGGTACAAGCCCCTCTTAATGCCCGCCTGATTATTGCAACTGATGGTCTCCAAACGTGTGCATGGGAATCATCTGAAGCTCTTTCTAAAAGCAGAGTCCGAGGGCGCTACTCCTAGTCCTACTCGATACTTGGGCGCGCCTAGTAGAATCTGCATTTTAGCAAGTGCCTCCGGTGGGTAGAACTGCGCGCTTAAGTTTGAGAACCACTGCTCCTTCTCTGTTCCACTTGCCTTTTAAATGAGGTTAAGCATTTGGTAGGCACTACCTGGGTAAGTTGATCTTTCTGCCTCAAGTCTCTTTTCTGTGGATACATAACTTAGAAAGGCAGCTTGGCAGAGATGAGAGGATATCTACTCTGGCTTCAAACCATCTTGGGTTCGAAACCTTACAGTGTAGACTTTAGGCAGAGTGCAGAGACTCCCTAAACCTATCTTGCCTCTAAAAAGAGGCTGATCACATCGATACCTCTGAGCAGTAGCTTTCCTTTAAAAAGTTTTAAAAATTGGGGTGCCGGCGGATGGCATGGTGGTTAAGGGCACTGGACTCCCACATGGCTGAACAAGGGTTGAGTCCCGGACCTGGCAGCTTGCTTTCTCACTTCCCCTCTCTGTCTCTCTCTGGTCAAATTAAAAGTAAATAAAGTTAAATAATAATTTTTAAAAGAGTAAAAATTAAAAATTTTTTAAATTAAAAAAAACCAACACAATGAGAAATACACTTTGCATCCTGACGGTGGACACCTGGAAAGAGGATGAAAGTGTATAACAAAGTTTCTAAAAACAATACTTCCCATTACTGCCTGTGATACACTAATATTTTCTATCCTATTCCAACCTCTCTTGCTGATCATGATTGACAGTGAAAACAAATGCTAAGGTTCTGGCAGGTGGCAGCACCTCACATGGCCCACCTCGCTTTGAGTCCCAGACCTGGTGGCTTGCGTTCTCACTTTCCCTTTCTCTCTGTCTCTTTCTCTCTCTCTGGTCAAATTAAAGAATAACAGTGATAATTTTAAAAATAAGAAATAAAATAATTGTTTAAAAAAGAAATGGCTGACAGGATTGAGTCCCAGACCTGTCTGCTAGCTTTCTCATTTTCCTCCGTCTCTCACTGGTGAGCACACATGCCCTATAGCAAATAAAAAAAAAAATAATCTGTGGTTCAAGTCCTGAACCTCGTGGCTTAAACTCACGTTAGGCGCATGTGCATGCGTGCCCAAGATCCCGAGAGGAGAATGGAGAAGGGATTGCAGCGTGGTTATCCCCCCAGGGGGGTGATTTCTCGCTTTCTGTCTCTCTGTCTCTCTGTCTTTCTGGGGAGTGCACGCACCTATAGCAAAAACCTCTCCAAAATAATAATAATAATAATAATAATAATAATAATAATAATAATAATAAAGATCAGCAGATGGCATAATAATAATAATAGTAATAGAGACCAGCAGATGGCATAATGGTTCCCTTGCTGGATTTTCATGTAGTCGACTGGTTCTCCCAAAATCCTGAGAGGAGAATGGAGAAGGGATTGCAGAGTGGTATCCCGCCTGGGGGGGTGATTTCTTGCTTTCTGTCTCTCCAGCAAGTGCACATGGCCTATGGCAAAAAATCTCTTTCTAAAATAATAATAATAAATAACATTAAATAAGTAATTTTTTTAAAAAAGAAAAAAAACTGCCAGAAAGTGTTGGTATGATAAAGTAATATAAATACAGAGCAATATGCCGGGCACATGGTAATTGCTGAATAAATGTTAATAGTCTCTTACAGTCTACCCGTCTTAGTGGGGTATGACCTCCACCCCTTTCCTACCAATCCTACCCTTTTCCTCCCACAGAAAGATTACACAGTGCCTAAACACTAATGCTTATCTCTCCTAGTTCCCTTTACCTTACCTTTCCTTTTTTTTTTTTGGAGAGGTTTTTGCTACAGGGTGTGTGCACTCACCAGAAAGACAGAGAGACAGAAAGCGAAAAATCACCCCCCAGGGGACATGGCCATGCCGCAATCCCTTCTCCTCTCGGGATCTTGGGCACAAGCCACCAGGTCTGGGACTTGAACCACTGTTGACTCCATGGGAATCCAGCAGCAACATAGCTATTACGCTAACTGCTGGCCCCGCCCTCCTCCTGGTAAACTCCTATGCACCCGTCATGGCCCTGCTCAAAGTCTGCACACTACTTCTGCCTAGCCATAGCTTTTTCCTCCTCTCTGCTTCCTTGGACTTTTCTCTCTCCTACTTTTAGTGCCCCTAATGCCAGAGAGCACATGCACTGGCCTGTCCCCAATGGAGCATGGTCCTGTCACAATCCTTTCTTCTCCAACTCTCTATCCCTTCAGGCTCCTGGGCACAGGTGCGCATGCCCAGCATGTTTTTCAAGCGGCTGGCGCGGGGGTTGGAACCCTGGACAACCATGTGGGACTTAGTTTTCTCTACACAGTGCCCAAACACTGCTCAGGTACGCCAGCCCAATCTCACTCAGTATTTTATGCATTTATTTTCACTTCTGACTCCCCTGGTTGTCAGCTGCAGTGGAAGGATGGAGGCCAGGACGGGGAGGACGGGCAGGAAATGTATGTGGAGTTGAAGAGTGAATATTTGCATACAATTCCAGCTACACGTGACTTGTTTATGTAGACCATACATTCTGTTCCCAGGCCGCTTTTCAAGTTCGGATTGCTTCACTGTCAAACCCGAGACTCCACCCAGGTTCCGTGACTCATCTGTATTAGGGGGAAGGGTTTTTTGGGGGAGGTGGGGTTGAATATCCTGCTAGGCCACTGTCAAACCTCTTTTGGGACAAAAGCTGGGGTACCTGTGCTTCTCCACCCCAGAGGCCCCATGATGAAGTCCAAAAAAGTAGGAAAAAAATAGTCTGTGTGTGGGGGGATGGGAGGACAGGGTGCAAAAACTCAGAACTATTCGGCAATAGTTTTGAGTTATTTGACGAGTTATGCCAAGGACACCATTTTCTTGGTTTTGTTTTTGTTTTAAATTTGCTACAGGTTGTGTGCACTTGCTCACATAGGGAGGGGGTGAGAAAAAGCACGCCCCCCTGCCAGGGGATGGCCATGCTGCAGTCCCTTCCCCTCGGGATTTTGGGCATATACACACACACACACAACTGGCATTTTCGTTTTTCAAGCTGCCAGTTCCAGGACTCGAACTGCACAGTTGACCATGGAGGAACAACTGATTGCCCCCCCGCCCCTTTTTCAGTATTTCCAGTCTATCCTACTTCTCTCTTACAAGAGGCACAGCCAGTGGAGGGGGCACTTTCTTTTTCTTTTCTTTCTTTCTTTCTTTTTTTTTTTTTTTTTTTTTGTGGGGTTTTTTTT